AGTGAACTTTTTTCAGCAAGCAAATTGATTTTAGCGTTGTTCTACAATTAGAAAAACACTTTTTATAACCATGTCACACTTTCATTCCCACTGATTTTGCAAAATCTTCTAGATTTTTTAGGGTCTTTCTATAAAAAAATGGTCACTTCAGAATACTCATTAAAGCGGATATCTATAGCATTTTATCGAAAACAAATAATTCTTTACCATTAGCGAAAATTCTTTTGCTGAATTATGCTAATGCAAAAATAAAAAATCTTTCTTTATTCACTTAAATGATTGTTAAAAGTTTATTGGGATTATCGAATGATCTTATTTATGTAAAAATCTTTATTGACCACTTGAAAATTAAAATGATATGTTAGTTTTTTCTTTTCTGTAATAATAACACAGTCATACAGTATATAGTATATAGTTTCTTTGAAAGAACCATGAAACTCTAATGAGAAATAACATTTAGCACAGCTTNTTAAGAAATAGTGGCCAGTCCAAATCTCTTATCATTCTAAGATTCATAAGGGTGTTTCTAAGAGCAAACAACACATAACTTTAGTACTTAAGCAGAAAAGATTAAACAAGCGTCTCGGTAAAAATAACTTTCATTTATTACACTTTACAATTTTTACACATTCGAAGCCTCCAACAAAGCAGGCTCCATCCAGCCTGACAGACTGATATACTTGCGAACGAAAATCCACTTAATCCCAGTTAGCAGCTTTCTATAATTGCAAACCCAACATTACTGTAAGGGGCCAGTGAACTTTTTTCAGCAAGCAAATTGATTTTAGCGTTGTTCTACAATTAGAAAAACACTTTTTATAACCATGTCACACTTTCATTCCCACTGATTTTGCAAAATCTTCTAGATTTTTTAGGGTCTTTCTATAAAAAAATGGTCACTTCAGAATACTCATTAAAGCGGATATCTATAGCATTTTATCGAAAACAAATAATTCTTTACCATTAGCGAAAATTCTTTTGCTGAATTATGCTAATGCAAAAATAAAAAATCTTTCTTTATTCACTTAAATGATTGTTAAAAGTTTATTGGGATTATCGAATGATCTTATTTATGTAAAAATCTTTATTGACCACTTGAAAATTAAAATGATATGTTAGTTTTTTCTTTTCTGTAATAATAACACAGTCATACAGTATATAGTATATAGTTTCTTTGAAAGAACCATGAAACTCTAATGAGAAATAACATTTAGCACAGCTTGCGGTCAGTCTACTTATATTGTGACTTCTCTTGTGTTCTGTATGATATGACACATGTAGTAGCAACACTTTGCACTCTGTTTAACAGGTAGACTTTTATAGACCAAAATTTACATTTACCTTTCTCTTTGTGCTTTTGAAACAAATCCGCAAAAAACTGAAAGCCATCTTTCATGTTCTCTATCACAGGGGAGTTCATTCCTTTTACTCTTTGTCTGCTGAGAATTCCCCTTTCAAAAATCTGGTTACATGCCTCCAGGTAATCGGCAGTCATCTTAACAGAGGTGGCATCAGGTGGCGTAGGTTGAGATTCAGAATAACCTCTTGGGGCGCTTATCATGTACTTTTGCTGAAAGCAAAAAAAAAAAAAAAATACAGCAGACATGTTTCCAGGGTCTACTTGGAGCAAATTTAGTTTTCCAATACCTCCGGTTCATATCTGAGTCAATGGTACAGCTGTAGATTCAATCTTTCAGGAATTTAACATTATTATTTGGTTTCTATCACAATACTTTTAGAGATCATGGATGCTTTGAGTAAACTCTTCAGGCTGAGATACTACAAGTGCAGGAACAGTGTAACGTAACAAGTTACATTACACGAAACCACCTAACTTAAAGTTATTGTTACCGGCATGATCTTCGCTGGTAGGACATTAAGGCGGGTCCACACATCATGATACACATAGTTGTACTTAAGATTGGGGACTTTTGGAGCACAACCCTGTTCCCTTCTAGCTTTGTCTCGGTGGTACTGGTCTTCGATGGCTTTCCAGCCCAAAGGGGTATCATCAATTTCAAAGGCTTTGGTGTCTTTGGCTCTTAAGCTATACAATGCTGCAATCTGGTTTTTCAGCTGAAGATAGAAAATAAAGGAACTTTGTCCCATGGGTGCTAATCAGTTTGTACTGCATAGTAAATTAATGGCTGAAATGTACCCTTCAATTTTGTTAATTAACATGAGGGAAATTTGTTATACTGGTAATATTTTGCATAACCAAATGTTTAAGATTTTTAGCCATAGGACTCATAATACTTTCACTTTACAATATTATGAGCCAACCATTCAAATTTTGTAGTGGGGGCTGGGTAATTTCACGGACTGGAAAAACATTCTTGGACAGAGTGCATTAACACCAAAAATAATTAAGTCATATATTAACACCTAATTTAAATACTCAACTGACAATTATTAACAATTAACCTGTTTTGAAGAGAGGGTGAGGGAGAAAGCCAATATATATTAATTTTGTAAAAGCACTGAGATTCCTTGTTTATGTGAAATTCTTACAAAAGCAGTATATGTAAGACTTAAATAATATATGTATGCAACATAAACCAGTCATAAAAAATATTATTTAAAATATACATGCAGATGGAATTTTCCCTTTGGGCGACGTGCTGTGCGCCAGCAGGGATATGGCTTGCGGTTATTGATTTTCAAAATGGCGAACAACAAAGTCGATCTGGGTCAGATAAGAAGCAAAGAAATCGTGTACAGTAGATTCATAAAAATCCTATTGGGCTAATTAATCGTGCTAAGCGACAGGTATAGACATTGTTCAAGGCAAGACTTTAAATAAGTAGTTCATTTATTCACACGAAACTCCTCTGGACCCTTTGCATTAAGCAAAAATTATGTCATCATTGTTGAGATTAAAACCCCAGACCAAAATGTTCAAATCTATACCCCTTTTCAGACCAAAACGGCGCAAAAACTCTACCCGATGAGGCGGCACATACCTATATGGCAGATATAGGGCAGTCCCCCGGGATTTTATCATCCCCTTCAATAATGAAATGAATCTCATTCTACAGGAAAAGTAAACGAAAGGAAATTTGCTAGAAAATAGTAAAATTAAATGAGACTTACCTGTAAGTTGAAGTTTGATTGAGATTCTGCCGAGTTATAAAGTGCTGAGAGATTGCATGAGAGATCGTAGCGCATGCACCAACTCAGTCTTCAAAGGCTTAATGTGAGTGATTCACAGGTACCAACAAAAGGTGGGTTAGGAGGGCATGTAATCTCCCAGCACTTTTTTACTCAGTAGAATCTCAATCAAACTTCAACTTACAGGTAAGTCTCGTTTAATTTTACTATTCTACCTCGTTATCGTGCTGTGAGATCAAGCAACATGAACATTAAGCATAATCAACAAAACATTTATTACAAATTTGTGTTGCTTACATTGCTGAGCACCTTGTCAGCAAATGTGTTCTCTTTAACAATAGGCTTGTTATAAAATTTTGCGAATGTAGACTCTGATGACCATCCAGCTGTATGCAAAATATCTTCAAGGCTTACTGAAGCATTACTGGCTGCAGACGAACTGGCAGCCCTAGTACTGTGTGGTTTAAACCTGGATGTATCGATTCCAGAGTCAGTCAGAACCAACTTAAGCTAACGACTAATGGTGTCTCTACTTACTCTTTTAAAAGGTCTGTTATAACTTTGAGCCCCGTAAGGATTGTGTCCTTGTTGGATACTCCTTTAATGTTGTTACAACACAGAGAGTCTCATCCTTTAAAGGTCTGAGTTCTACAAGAGGATTTTTGATACCTGCTCTGCGTGGTTTTAACTGGTCAACAATCTGAAAATTATAGCAATTATTCACAGAGACCATGTGGTCAATGCTTAGCAAATGAACGGTCTGACCTCTTTGGCCTGAAACTAATAGAATAAGCACAAGGAGTTTCAGTGTAAGTTACTTCAAGGACAATTTATCCACAGGGGATAAAGACTGAAGGTATGAAAGAACGATGGACACATCGTAAATTTCTGGGTACTTAGGTCTCGGTGGTTTTTCCTGGAAAATGCCTTTCATTAGCTGAGATACTAGAGGGTGTTTTCCTACGAATGTCCCATTTTCTAAAGTAATATAGCTAGACAAAGCACTTCGGGCTGTATTGATGGCACTGTATGTAAGGCCTTGCTGATATAGCAGGGTTAGAAAATCAAGCACAGACACTACAGATGGTTGAATGTGACTGATCTGCCTCTGATTACAAAACTTTTGCCACTTTGTAATGTAGGTACTGTACTGTTTCTTTGTTCCGTCTCTCCAGGAGGCCATGATGAACTTAGCAGCCGCCTCTGAAATTCCTCTATCCTGGATGGATTTCCAGACAGGAGACATGGCAGCATAGTCAATTTCCTCCTTAAGGGATGTAGTGTTTGAGGAGAGTGTGATAGTGAAAGTAGGTCCTCCTGCTTCGGCAAGACTAATGGGAATGCAATTAACATTTTTAGCAGTTGTGGCGACCAAATTTGAGTAGGCCAGACTGGTAGGATCATGATTCCCTGTATTACTTGTTCCTCCAAAAAAAATATGTGTGAAATAGCACTTGAATTTATTGGATAAGTTTCGGAATGGTACAAGAATGCAACGGTCATCTAGAAATTTTTAGCCGTCCTCGAGCGACACAAAATTCTAGGCATTATATTCTTCTCTGAACAGATATTTTACAGAAAACAATCGTTGGGTGCCCCCTGATTCTTCTTTCTTTCGCTTCTCTAACTTAAGACGGCAAACATGGGTTTGTGCCACGTTTCTCTTGGAATCAAGTAAGCCACGTCGGATATTCTAAACAGGCCAAACATCACGTATTTTAAAGAAATAAACAGACAGTACTCACACAAGATCCGCTCCTGGGCTTTTCCGTAGGTGGCAAGGGACACGCGCTTTCCTGCTCTCTCCAGTTGGTGTGAACTCGTGAAGAAGGCATAGGCCTCGGCAAGGAATTCTCTCAGGCTTGCGGTAGCTCTTGAAGTCCCTGGAA